TCCCAATCCCAATCTAAATCCCTAAATCATAGGCCCAGCCCCATCATGAACCAGACGCTGCCTAATATAACAACTGTCATTTGCTGCAGAATTGTAAGAAATGACGCTTATTAGAGATGCACTGTTTTATCTTCTTTATTATTGATTATCTTTTTTTTTTTTTTCGTGGGTCTTGCTTCTTTTCTGTATGCATGTTACGGCTCAATGAATCTGAAATCTTCCTACTTCCCTGAAGCATGGGTCTATTGTGACGCCTCCTATAGCTGCACAAAGACTTCAGTCTATCGAGAAGAGAGATTACTACCTATCCACAATGTAGCAAAAATGTTAATTTTTCGAATAACCTCTAAAGCATGACTCTTCTTTGATCGCGAAATTCTCACATTACCCTCATGCCACACAGACCAAAGTAATATCCACAGGTTACTTACATTACCCTAACGTGTATGGATGTTTCACATATTGGTCCCTCGATCTTTTTCCTTTTAAATGAGTCCCTGATCAAGTCATTGACCTGACTTGACCTTTCGTTTTAGTCTTCCAATTCATATAGCTGCTTCAGATTAATCCTTGTAGTAAACTGTCATGTGAATTTGGGAAGATATTCCTATTAAATTTAACCTTTTTTTTTCACTTATATTTTCGAACAGATTATTTTCTCTAGGTTCACATTCAAATCAAGTCTCATTTAAAAGCCAAAGCTAAGCCCTAGCTCCTCTTCTCCTCCACTGGCCGTAGAGGGACTAATATTAATCTAGAGTAACTCATATGACCAACCTAGAGTATAACTTATATGAATAGATAGACTAAATAACTACTTCAATGACCGGAGGGACTACCTAAAAATATGAAGGATTTAAGGGAGCAATATCTAAAAAACTTGATAACAAAAATGGACACACGTCCAAGTAAATGTTGATAGTGCAATGAATGACGAGTATGTCTCATAGGGCTGGACTAAGTTTTGAAGCTCAGCATTGGACGGGACTGTTAATTACAGTCCAAGTAAAAGGTGATAGCGCGGTGAAGGACAAATATGTGGTGAAGGATTGAGGACTAAATTTCCAAATGGAAGGAATGGCGTAGGACTCTGTAAAGTCCAAGTAAATGATGGTGGTGGGTAGATGAGTGTCACAACGCCACATAGTTGTGGAGGAACTAGGAGCCGCCCTTGGAAAAAAAATGAGAAAAATAACCACGCAAATGACAACCCAACCCAACAATATTCTTGGTGATAGCGCAGTGAAGGACAAGTATGTGGTCAAGGATTGAAGACTAAATTTCCAAATGAAAGGAATGGCGTAGGACTCTGTAAGGTCCAAGTAAATGATGGTGGTGGGTAGATGAGTGTCACAACGCCACATAGTTGTGGAGGAACTAGGAGCCGCCCTTGGGGGGGAAAATGAGAAAAAATAACCACCCAAATGAGAAAGTAGTTCCTCTGTTAGTGTTTCAGTAAAAAAAATGTTAGTTTCTAACTATCGGAGAAGAACAACTCCAGCGGGTTTCACTTTAAGCGTGCATAACCACTAAACTCGTTAAAAAATTGCATGAAAAACATACTAGAGGGGTAAAATAGTCAATTTGCCTCTAACTGGTAGATTTGATGGAATGTTTCCCTCAAATCTAATGCGATACTTAACTTGAAGGACCATTTTACAATATCCTATATGATTTTAGGGACTAATATGCAGTTATTAAAGATTTAAGGGACTAATACTATAAAGTCCTAAGGTAATTCAGGGGATTAATATCAAAATATGAAGATGCTAGGGATTAATACAAAATACCTATGATTTTATGGTTTAAGATACTAATATCTAGAAGAATAATTTAATTTAAGGTAGCTCATCAGTTTGTGTGCTCAACATTACACTGGAATGGGTGCATCAGATGATGAATTTGAAGATAAGGGAGCCAGAAGATGTCAATGTGGGGCAATATAATCTTTCGTATGAATCTTGATCAAGAAGATTATATGGCTACTTCAGAGTTCTACGAAGATTCTTATTTGCCTTCTTTGGATGTCAATAAAATTACAAACGCGAAGCATGAGATACTAGCGTGTATGGCTACATCATTTCTTTTTATTTTTAATTTAATTTATTTATTTAAGCCTAGTGCAAATTGTAGCTCCAAGTTTTAAAATTTTAAAAATGAACCAAACAACTACAACCGCATGCAAGAATTATCGCAATAACTACAGTTGCATGAGACTGACATTTGCATTGCAGTAGTAACAGTAGTTTGATCTGAGCAAAAGAGACTAGTGCAAATTGTTCAACCTTATATAGGTAGTGAACGATTAACCCATTGATTTTTCTCCGAATCAGGACCATTGAGGAGGCGATCGAGAGAGCCAACAGTACGAGATATCAGTATAATGACCGAAGACATAAACATAGCTAGCAAATGTTCCTCTTGGTTGGTATAAGATAGAGTTGTTTGGGAGAGAGGTTGGATTGCATGCCCTAGATATGTATAGTGCAGACATGCTCTCGTAAAATGTACAACGAACATTTCGAGTCCTGATTGCATCAAATGATCATATTTTCTCTGATATTTCAAGCATAAAGAGAAATAAAATTGAATCTCAAGCAAGCTTACAGAGAAATTTCAAGTGACATTCAAATCATCTAATTAATCTTTCCTCAAATATCTAATACAGACTAAGAATCATCTCAGAACTGTCGCATGCGGTTTTAGTGTTGCACACAAATAGGGGTTGCAATTCCAGAATTGCTCACATATAGGCATTCTGCAAAAATTCGGATTCTCCATCACATAGATGTTCTTTAGTGGTATATCTAGCTTTAACTCTCAGTGGTCCAAACATGATTACATAAAAGCGTTTGTAGACATACGGCATAAACTGTTTTTTTTAGCACCTGACATCCGTTGAGTGCACTGCCTACTCTTGTTTGGTTGAGATATCACAAGAGAACCACATAACAAGTTTAACTGGAAAAAGTAAAGTTTAAATTGAAAAAAGTAAAGTTCCTCTCAAAGTTGAGGGCAAACGAGTAAAGCTTTTAGAGGGTAAACAAGAGATTTGACAAAAAATAGTTTAGCGGATGCAAGTATCTATACCTTCACACTACAAGGGATGTATCTACAATTGACTCTTCATAAAATGGACAAATTTCCACTAACATTTCCAGCTTAAACAAGGAAAATGAATCAAATTTTAAGCCAGAATACCAAGATATTTCGAGCAATGACATCCAACTCATCTGATTAATCTTTCCAAATATCCATCACACACGCACAGGCAAAGAACCAGTTATTGCATCTAGCAACTGCAATTATTTATTGAAAAATACACATTAAATTTTATTTCCCCTCTTGCAAATAATCATTAAGTACGCTACAAGTGCTTAGCAAAAGGATCTGATTGATGGCTTTGATTTGAGTACTCAGGTGCAAATAAAGAACTCCCATGAAAGCTACCGCCTCTTAGCACCTTGCTACAGATTCAGCTGAAAACAAGTACTTAACACGTGAAAGAACTGAATCATGAGCTGGATCATATGGATGATTCTTGGAGGGAATCTCCAAGATTGCTGGAATAGGCTTATTGTAGCTATCTACAAGAAACCTTATCATATTCGCAACCTGGAACCATAAGGAAAAGGAGAAAGAAAAGAAATCAGTTTGTGATGTTTGCAGTAATGATATGATTAGTTTAGTAGTACATATTAGAATTGGAGTCATTATGGATCACTAGAATACATTTCCAATGAAATAGTCAAAAACTCTGAACCATACAAGAAACTGAAAGAAACCTTCAATTAACAAATCATTATCTCTTGGGATCAAACTTTAACAGTGCTAGAAGTTTTTTATGGTAAATTTCTAATTTGGAGAGGACTCACAAAGAAATATTTTCGTGAAAGAACTGTGAATGTAGAATTAACTCAGGAATCTGTAGGCTTAAGTATGCCTGTTTAGTTTGACATATTCAAGTATAAAATTGCAGGGCAAAGCAATGTGAAAATATTGCTTATAATAAAGAACTATTTTACAGATCAACAGCATCATGTGAACACATACCTGTTAATATCAAATATTTTTCACTGCTTATGTTTCAATCAAATATTTTTCACTGCTTATGTTTCCATCAATCTACTCATGTTAATGCCCAATATCAGTTGATTTTATGCCACAAGCATATAAATCAAATCACACATGGGCCAGAACCAAGTCTAGGTGAGCTCATCTGTAAGCTAAACACTGGCTCACTAGTATCGACAATTTGGTCAACAATCAGTTCTATATTTGTTATGTCTTATTAATCTGAAGTACACAGCAGTTTAGTTAACTAAGTCAGCTGGCTTCATTTTGATGTAAAGTCACTTGCAAACAATCAAACATCACACTACTACGTTTGGATACAAAAGAGAGTAGGGGAGGGGAATGATTGTATTAATCCCAAAGGGATAGGGTGGAAAGGAAAGGGATGTGATGAAACTAATTGTGTTTGGATAGACAACTAGGGCAAGAGAGGGGTTCAGGAAGGGAGGGAAACTACAAAACAAATATGACTCAAGTCTCGGGATAATCTTGGAATTTTAAGAAAATATCACTTAAAATTCAATCTCTCCCCTCCCAATCCGTCCATTTTAGGAGGGTTAAGAAAGGGAGGAAACATGCTTCTTTTTAAACCTCCCAATCCTCCCCCTCATTAGCTAAAAATTGTAAAAAACAACATAACTTTCGGGTGGTTAGCATTATATCCTTCACAAATCCTCCCTTCCCCTCTTAACAAAAATTATTCAAACTCACCCATTATTATGTTTCCCACAGCACATTCTAAACCCAAGCTCAAAAGCATACTTACTAGTTTGACTAGTTTATTATGAAAAAACATAAAATTATGAGCAGAAATATTCTAAGCAGCACGGAGATGAATAGTACACATGATGATGAAGGGATAAAATATGATGCATCAAAATATTAAAAAGAACTTACATATTGGCTTATAAGCACAATGGCGATGTCGTCCTTTGAGGTGAATTCCCTGAATGCATCCTCAATTGTTTTCATTGCTGTTTCTGGAATAAGGAAACCCATGGCATTAATGAGGAAAGCAATGGTATATCTCAAATATGGAAGAATGATCAGCTCCATGAAGATATCCGGCACCGCATGATGGTAATATAAAGAGCTTAATATCCATATGAGGAAAAGCTATTAGACTAGTAGGATAATTCAAGTTATTTAAATAACAAACATGTGATGCAGGGAATAGACAAAAAGATAGATGATGGTCTGAGAAAGAGGATTGATATTAGTTTATATAGCTTCTTGATTGATTTATAGACAAAGAATGCAGAACAGAAGAATATGACGTGGGCTACATAATTACAGAGTAAGCCATAGCATAGGGAGGAAGCATAATTTTCTTTATAACATATTTCAAGGAAATACAAACACATGTTTATACCCTATAATAGATTAAACAAGATAAAGGTCATTCTAAGTTTATGAATAATGTCTCATCCCATAGGACATTAAAAGATAATGCTGACAGTAAACTACGCATAAGAGAGCAAAATATAGAAAAAATAATATGTGAAGATATCAAGAGATTACTTGAGTCCACAATAAGGTAGTTTGTTTTCCTTCGTAGATCAACATTACCAACTCCAGCCAGCAAAAATCCAGTAATCGTATCCTGATAAACCAACAAAAATAACATCAATGTTGACAAATCTCTCATACAAGAAATTAAAAAAAATGCTGCAAAATTGTTACAAATCATGTCAGATTCTTTTAAAACCTTAATCATAATTCTAGTTCTCAAGATGAAAGCATAGCCAAAATTTCAAAACATGATTTTGCCCCTGCTAGAATATAGAATTATAATTTATAACCCTTAATTCCCCCACAACTTCGGAGTTTTGATGTAATAGTTAGAGGGACTTTAAAAGCCCCGACATCATGCTCGCACACATACAAGAATGTGAATTTAAGTTCAACATGTCTTTTTTAAAGTCCCCAACCTTGCCTAATAGTTGCACTTAAAATGCCTAATAGTTTCTGTTTCCCCAACCTTGCACTTAAGTGGCCTCTTTTTTCAAACCAAACCAAAAAAAAATTCCAAAGTATTTTAAGTTTTGTAGATAAATGCCCCAAAGTTTTAAAATGTTGCATGTTGGTGCCCTCTTATTATCCAATATTACATATAAATGCCCAAGTTCGTAAATGACCTCACTTAAATACCCCAAAGTTTCTAAGAGTTTCACCTTAGTACCCTCAATTATGTTACATAAAAAAGCTGAATCAATCTGGGTTTTTTAAACTATGGAGCATTCATTTAATCTCATTTCCGAGGTTCACACCATATGGCTAAATTTCTTTTATAGTTTCTTCGTCACAAATTCAAAAGGATCTTTGTTCCATGAAACTTTCCAGGTCTTAGAGACTAATAGATCGTGAAATGAGCGGTCACGAATTTTAATAATGTTTTCATGTTTTACTTATTGACCCTAAGGGGATATTTTGCACATGTCGGCTATGCCCAGAATATGTTTTTTTTCATTATGACCTACATCTTATGATTGTATAAACTACTAAGATCTTAGGCTTGTGGGCCCATTTTAAAGAAAGCCTCATTCATTGAGTTCTGTGTAAACTTGTTCATTTTACTTTGTGAGATCTCTTCAAACTTGACTAGGACTTATCCTTGTGCCCCTCATGTGCCTGCTTGGACAAGTGGTGACAAGGTAGGCATAAGAGCGTAGGCCTTCAATAGATTTTATAATAGTTTATAAGGATTTTAAAACAGCATTGAGTGGATTTACGATCGACAGTCGAAGTTTATTTTGTTTTAAACATTCAAAATGATTTGGTGTTTTGTAATTGTTTAATATGAACTGAATAAATTTGTGAAAATCTTTTTTGCTAATTTGAAGTTGATATTAGTTTAATTACATGTGGACAATTCTATTTCTGAGTTTTCTGAAATTCATATCATAATCCGCCGCAACCTCAATTGATAGAAAAAAATTAGGTGATGCTTCCAGAATTCCACTTCTACGTGTTGTTGCACATTTGTAGGCAGATATATATAATTCCATCAATTTGCAAATAACATTCTAGCTATATGATTCTCATGGCCGATTGCTCCCATAAAATCAGCCAAATAAGTTCATTAATGTACTACAATCAAGCAAACCATGGAAATCATGCACCATTTCATCGCCTGATTTTAAAACAACCTCTCGATGGATTACTCGCTTAGTCGCTTTGCATTTTATTTATTTTAGGTTGCTGAAATTAAGAGGTTGCAAGGACATTTATTCTTGTGCCCGCAAAATACCCTAAAAGTTAACTGGTACAAATTTACGCTTATCACACTCAAGACCCTTCTTATACCGCTGCAAGAGTTCAAACTCTAGTATATATGAATGAAGAAAATTCATTTACAAACTAAGGCAATTACAGCAGTAATTTTCAGCAAACCAAACACGCATTAAGCTCAAGTGGAGTTAGATACCCAGTTCCTTACTATTACTAAAAGGTAGTGGATTTAGATCCTCACTATAATTTTTAATCTCGGCTGTCTATTGTTAAGTGAATGATAATTGTAATTCATCCGTAAGTTTTATTATACTCATTCCCACTTTTCACTAAAAATGAATAATAAGCATTTAATAATAAGTAATTATGATTAAAAGTAGTGGTTTGTCAATTACTTTTTGTGAATAGAGAGAATCCAAATCCTAAGTCTATTTAAGGTGAGAAACTTGCAAGCCAAAAAAGATATACTAATACCCAAGCGCACAAGCAAGTACCCAGTGTACCCAATCCATACCATTAATGGGGCACCAACGGCATATCAACACTTTGATCCAAATATTGGTATCTCCCTGATGCACCATTAATATAATGAATCAGGTGCACATGATATCTTTTTCAAGAGTAAAAACATATAGACCATTAGGCATATCCATTTGATATAGGAGGCATAAGTCATTAACACCTTGAAAAATTGCA